TATTGTTATGTACGGCCAGAATAGTATAAATGCAAAGCTTCACTCGACTGAAGCTAAGTTTTTGAGGCCTTAACTCTGTAGCCTCTTCTTCTTCTTCTTCTTCTTCTTCTTCTTCTTCTTCCTTCTTCTTCTCTTCTTCTTCTCCTTCTCCTCTTGCTCAACAATCCCAACTATATGGATCGGCTGCATGAACTCTGTTTTGCCAATCCATTCTACTTAAAATCCATACAACTGTTAAATTATTAATGCTTAATTCATTTCTTACTACTTCTACCCATGTCCTTTTTGGTCTACTCCTAGCCCCTTCAACTTGTAACAAATCACTTCTTCTAATTGGTGTTGTTGATGGTCTTTATGCACATAACCAAACCATCTTAGTCTACTCTCTCATTTTATCACCTATTGGGGCTACTCCTAAGTTCTTTATTCCCGATCCCATCCTTTCTGGTTTTTCTGCTCATCCATCTTAGCATTCGCATTTCCGCTACTCATTTTCTGGACATGTTTCTTGACTGCCCAACACTTTGCTCCATACAACATAGCTGACTTTACAACTGTTTCATAGAACTTTCCTTTTTGTCTAAGTGGTATTTGCCTATCACATAAAAGTCCAGATGCACCTCTCCGTTTTTCCCATCCTGCTCTAATTCTTTGGTCTCCAATCCTAAGTATATCCTCATTTACACTCCTATTAGAACTAAATTTAAATGTCATATACTCTGTTTTAGTCCTACTTATTTTAAAATTTTTCATAATTATACTATACCAAATTGATCTTTAATTATTTTTGTTCCATGCAGCCAATGGAGAAATGTCATGGTGGCAACTGTAGCATGAGCATAAAAACTTCACAATTTCTTTCATGACTCACTTCACTAGGCATACAGTCCCACTTCCTCTTTGAGATTATCCTCTCGAAAAACAGGACCTCGTTCCATTGAAGTCATCTCATGAATTTCTATAGTTCAATAACACCAGTGAAATCATATCATATTGAAGATAAATGTGTCAATCATGGATTCCTGGAGTCACAATTTAAATAAGAACAGTTGTTTAAAATCAATGGACATAACTGGTAAGAAAAAGAAAAATTATATAGTACTGACGTGATAGCTATGACACATCAAAAAAAAATCAAATCCCATGTAATATGTCATTCTTCTTCAATTTTGAAGTACAAGAATGAATCTTTCCATAATTATAAGTTTTACTTCCTAGGGAACAAATGACTGGTAGAAATTATAGAAGGTCTTCATGCCTGGAAAATAATAAAAACAAGAAAAGGTCCTAATATTATAGCCAGAAAGATTGCAGAGTAACAGGTATATATTCTACAAACTCAATAGAAGCAAGAGACATTTACGGATCAAGCATCCAATAGCTTCGCCTCTGAAAACTTGGATTCTGTTCTCCATGTGCATAATAACAATTTAAAGCTTCAACATTTCCAACCTAGCCACATGGAAACAAATGAGAACAAGCTGCCATTCAGAACCAAATAGATAAAGATGCATCAGATGGACATTTTAGAAGCATAGACGCAGTTTCTTCTTTAGGAACATCCTAACATTAAAAATATCTTGTTTGCAGCCAAAATCCCTATTCTATACATATATAATATCGAAATTATGTAAACTATCTCTTTGGCACTTGTATGAACCTTAAACTATTGTGGAAATAAATCCAAGCACATGCAGATGTATAATTGTAATGTGGGTTGAAAAGAAATGTTGGAGGTACTGTGCTTCATCTAGGAAGCACAAAATATATGTTTATAGGATAGGAGAAGCTACGTTAAAATGAATTTCATAATCTGTAGCATGACTTTCATAAACTTGATCCTAAGGCTGTGCAATGTGCTTTCTTAGGCTATTTCTGAATTAAAATTACAGTTTTGAATGTATTCATTTTTCTACTGATGGTTCCTTTGTTTTTCTTCTAGCTCCACTTCCTGTTACTAGAAGTTCATCTTCTATTGCTGTTCAACCTTCCAAGTCCTAAACCATCAATTCTACAAGTTTATACATAGTTGCAAACTAACGATGCCTTACCACCACGTTTTTTTAGAGTCAATAGATCCCGAGCCTCCTATAGTTCCTCTGCAAAAAAACTTAGCATACCCAGTGCTCTGCATAAAAGTAAAAGGCCTTGCATTGCACATCCTATTGAAGTGTTTCTTATGCTTCTTTGTGTTGCTATATGTGTAGCTTTATCTCTTTTGTATATTTAACTTTGATTCATAAGTCCATACAAGAAGTTACATCTCATCCTGGGTGGGGGACAGCTTTAGAAGACAAATGACTTGATTGCACAATAAATGTATTTTGGAACTTGTCTCACTCTAACCAGGTAAGATGACCATGGGTTGTTGTAGGGTTTAGTCGTTTACATTGTTAAATTCCTTCCTGATGGGTCAGTGGAGCATTTAGGGCTCATCTTATGACCAAGAGATTTTCCTAGAGTAGTAGTGTTGATTATGCTATGACATTTCTCTTGTGGCCAACAAGATTGCTATGGTCAAAGTTATCATGGAGCGAAACTACCTCTGAATACCTGGCTTGGGGAAGTTTAGTAGTGAATGAATTTGGGTGAAGATATGTTGTTGATTGGAGTACTCTATCTTTTGCCATAATTCTGTTCAATGCAATTATTTTACCTTGTCTCAAAAAAAAAAAAAAAAAAAATCTATTCAATGCAATTATTTCGGTTGGTTACATAGAATTGTAGATAATACCATTATTTCTGGAGATGATTTGAAGGAAATTGAGAAATCAAATCATTTATCCAAGGAAAGTTTCATATAAAAGATTTAGGCAACTTGAGATACTTTCTTGGGATCAAAACATTTCACTCTCAGATAGAGATGGTATGTCTTAATGTGAGTACATGCTTGAACTGTTAAAAGAAACAAGGTTACTAGGGTTGAAACCAAATGCAACTCCTATGGATCCCAACATCAAGTTGAAGGCCGATCAAGGGGTGCTAATTTATCCAAGAAAATATCTTAGGTTAGTTGGAAAGTTAAATTATCTTAATATCACTAACCCGAATATCTCATTTTTTGTTAGCTTACTAATATGGAGGATTTTTTGAGAAAGCTTAACTGGATTTCATTAAAATAGGAGAAAATACATGAGATAAAATAGGGGAAGTTAATTAGATTTCATTATTATATACTGTAATACCTTAAAGAATCACCTAGTTATGGCTTATTGCAAAAAAACCGTGTACATGAGTACGTACTTTAAATTCAAGCTTTATTAATACCAATTCGGTAGGTTCTCCTTTTGATAGGTGGTCCACTACAGGCTTTGTACCTTATTAGAAGGTAATCTTTTACCTCGGAAGAGTAGAAAGGGAAGTGTTATGGCTAGATCAAGTGCTAAGGAAGAATGCAATATCATGGTACATACAATTTGTGCGTTAGTTTGGCTAAAGAACCTTTTAAAGAAGTTGGGCACCTCTATGACTTACCTATGCATCTTGATTTTGATAAGAAGGCAGCTATCGATATTGCATCTATCCCTGGCCTTAATGAGAGAACTAAACACATTGAAGTTTATTATCATTTTGTTCATAACAAAGTTCATAATCAGGATCTTTAAACTAAATGTGTTAAGTTTGCTAACCCACTAATCTGTTTACCAAAGTCCCTAAGTCATCCTCAGGTTGAATTTATTTGTTCCAACTTCCAAGCCTAGATTGTATGTTATATATTTACCAACTTGAGAGGGAGAATTAGGAATGTGGTTGTTTATGTTAAAAGAAATATTATACAGTATTTGTGTCATTATATATTCTGATACATATCCAGGGGTTGTTTAGTGGGTATAAAGTGGCTATGAAATGTAACATGAACAGTAGTTTTCTTCTTTCTCTATTCCGATACTTAATTGTAGATCAAAACAAAGATCAAATCAAGTTGTTGAAATTTTTCTACCTGAATCAGGAAACACAAATCAAACATTTTCAAAGTAACAATGCAAATAAAAATAACCATGTGATTTCCCAACTTTCAACAAACCTTAAGCCTTTCATGTGCTTCCCCAACTGTTCTACCATCCTTCTTTTTTCGCCAAATATGACCATCTCTACGAAAAAAACGAAGCACCCTCTTGTTGAAAAGGAATAAAGACCCACCTGTTTATGCAGTCAGTTAGGATGCTATGGCATGACACTATGAACATAAGGAATTATGCACAAAGAATGATTGGAGCTGGCATCCAAAACAACTGAAAACAAAATCACAATGAACACTATATTGCATTAAACTATGGAGATTAGAAAGGTTACCTGGAGGCCTTTGAAGGGGCTCTTCAGTGAGCTTCTGACTTTCATGATTCTGTAAAATGAAAAGAACTTCTGCAGGTTTCAGCCAACGATTTTTAGCCTCTTGGAACAGCTCATGGATATCATATCCTGCAATGAATGAGGAATAAAGAAAAGTCAAAACACTTGAACAGTAAAGGTATTTGCAGATACAACGTAGGAGGACTATGATCAAAATAACATGCTTAATTTTTAAACCAAGAAATCAATAATAATAAGTAAACAAGAACAATGGTGAAAGCATACTGTCTGCCTTATGATTCCATTTTTCCTACGGTGGCTTTGAAATGGTAAATATAAGCAAAAGTTAGTATGAGTTTAGCATAACCTGTGGAGATATAGGCATAGAACATTAACAGTAAGAAACTAATTAGCCACACTCTTAAATCATCAAAAGCAATCTTACAAATGAGACTCACACATGCAAACCTTCTCTTGTTGAAGAATGTGTATATGAACGCTTTAAGAGAAATTTACAGCAGGTATACATAATTAATAGGTGGGCGAAACAAACTGGTGATATTTCGTAAAATCACCAACTCGGATTGGGCCACAGAATATTAAACCAAATAAACTTTTTTCTCCAATTAGCTCCAGATAAATGTAGAAGAGTTCAATTTATTTTTTTCAAAAGAAATATAAATATGGAAAGAAAGAAACTAACATATTAGTATAACGTGAACTAGCTGATAAAAGATCAAAAGAAAACCAACGAGATCACTATAAAGAGAATTAAAAACAAAAGATTATATTCAAGAGTTCAACTAATTAAGATTTAAATATTTAACAACTCAAGCGGATGTGAACTCTAAATATTTAACCCTTACGTCACTCAAAATTGAAAACCAACACAGGTTATTCTAGCTGATATTTTATCAGCTAGAAACAGAAGAGAAGAAAAAGAAAAGGGGGAGCAACTTACCAAATTGAAGCTCACAGAATAGAAAAGCAGAACAAACTTCCAAAGGGGGGATAAAAATGCAAATAGAAAAGAAAGAAAGTAGAATATTACCGGACTGCATCGTGTTCGATCCCTAGAAAATAGAAATTACAGCTCGACGACTTGCATAGAAGCTCTGTCCTTCACTCGGTGGTGACCATTTCAATGCAGCGAACCCCGACAATTTGAATTAAGTAGTCGTACCAGTCGGGATAACAAAAGTGGAGGAAATGGATTGGAGTCGGAGACAAACCGAAAATTCGAGGAATCGGAAAGCACGGTGCGGAGTCAAGCGGCTCTAAACCATGGTAACTGATGAGAAGAAAAAGAAAGAAACAGCCGAAATATCGTTGCAACTTGCAAAGGTTGGCGCAGACGCTCCCTTCCTCTTCCCCCTCCAAAACTCCCAAGTCGCTACTCGCGAGTCAAATTTATCCCGTTTCGTTGAAAGTTGAAACAAGGGGGGGGAATAGCCGGACACGAGCTTGATTTGCTTTCTATCGTATTGAAATTCCTGCTACAATACAATGGAATCCTCCACACTACAGTAAAAGGCTTTCGTACTACTTTTTCAACGGCGAGAATACTGAATAGTTGTCGTATGTCCACTGACTGATGACTGACGACTGACGACCGATACGTGACGAATTTTGGCGCTATGCCATACAGATTACAGACAAGACAAATGAGGTACGCACATACGGACGCGTAAGGAGGGATTAAGAGTCTAAACAGCGGGATTTGATCCAATAATTTCTCTAGAGTCTGGAGTCTAGAGTCTCTGGAGTCTGGACCATTATCAAGTGCAAGTGGGTGGGAGTATACTATATAAGTTGTCCATAACCGTTATGATGGTAATAGAGGGCAAACGATCCATCCAGCTCATATAAAAACGAATCGTTAAAAAGTTTCCAGTTTTGTGGTTGCCAATTCCTGCTTCCCAAACTATCCATCGAATTTCCAGGTACAAGGCGGAAACATTAAAGATCGGATTTGGATAAAATAGCTCCGATGCGGATGCGGTAGCCGGTAGGGACACAAGCATATACTGGATCACCGAGAAAAACTTTTTAGGCAAATTATTTCTCCCTCTTTACTTTATGCACGTGCTACTTAATTGGTCATGTCCTGCCAAGTGCCATCATTTCATCGCTGAACCCAGATCTGACGTGGTTTCCAGTCATTCCTTTGTGCAGTTGTGATTATGTGGTAGGTAAGGTGGTATTAATTTATAAAAAAATAGTTAATATTTATTATTTTTATTTTTTAATTAATTTGGAAAGATTATAAATACAAAAATCTGGTAAGGGTATTTTTAAACCTTCTATATTATATAGACTCTTCAAAGGGATTAGATTTAGAAAGACGACAAATACAAATATGTATGTAAGGTCCATAAAAATGATAGCAGATAAACACATTTGTAATTGCACTCTTCCCAAAAGGAACATAGATGAAAATAAACCATAGATCTTTTAAAGCAGCACTAAAAGAAATTTCCAAGTATTGAATGCATTATATGGTAAATAGTAGATCAACTTTAGAAGACATGCTTTTGCTTTTGAAAGCATCCTTTCCTTTTGTTGATTTTGAAAACATCATTTTTGCAGAAGCCACAACATTTCTTGAAGCAATATTGAAGCTTTATAGATCAGATCTCTTATCTCTACATATTAATAATCTCTCTTTTGAAGGTGATGCAAAGGATTGTCCAATATTCCTGCTGGAACGTAGGATGATTTCCGTCTTGTTCATGGGCGTATCCCCTCAATAGTGGCCTTACTAATTGAAAGGTTCAATAGCTATGTGTGGGAAAGGATGCTAATAAGGTTGTTGACAACCTTGCTCGTTATTCCCTCTCATATATAGTGTGTACAAATCCTCTAAATTGTATTGCTCTTCCTCTTCTTGAGAATTCTCTTTTGTATCAAGACTATTAATTGTTGAATGGTTGGCTTAGGCCTCCAAAAAGGAATTGATTTTGTTTCTCTATCAATATTGTACATTTTGGCTGGCATATGTCATATGAATCCCATTCCCATATGACAACCAATATGTACCTCATTTGGTTATAACCAAACAAGACAAACTGCACTATAAGCATACGACAAACTTTCTAAAGTTTAAGAAAACTTGGTTATCGCTAGTTGATTACATATAAAACAAGACAACCAAGCTCAAGAATCTTCTATGATATGTTTCTTAACCCAAAAGTACCTCTTTATCGTTCTCTTGATGCATCTCCAAATACACAAACAGTAAGGTTCGTTGTGGGAGTGCTTTGAAAGCCCAAAATTGTTTCGAGGTGAGATTCAAAGTGATGGAATCATCATGTGGCGGTGATGCATGGCTCCAAGTTGCTAATCACTTTATATGCAGATCATCAGGAATTCGAAAACTTGTCTGACGGTGTAACATGCCAGATTAGCTTGTCATTAATAATGGTCCCGGGTTGAGGGAGCTTGACGGACTGGATCTCATACATGAAGAGTCATCAAACCAGTTCTTTAATCTTTCAGTGATCCAAGTCACAGTGTCTTGATTGATAATTTCAGCTACCTTCCGGTTGTTACTCAACCCCGGCCTCAGACTTAATGTACGGTAGGGCGAGAACCATTATTTAATTAGCCAAGGGTCCAGAGTAGCATTCGTCGCCCCACCCATTACCGATTAACCACCTGCAACCAATTTTCAAGAAACACCTGCACTTTAAGGTTATGTTTGGTTTGAAGAAAAAAGTAGGAAAAGAAAAGAAAATGCATGTAAACCTTTTACAAATCTTGTATAGATTTTCCTACATTTCCTTTCCTTTTCTCATTTTTTTCTTCAAACCAGACATAACCTAAGATGCCGCTCCAGATTGGAGATGAGTTACTCGAATCATATACCTCTCAAAAGGATTTACTATGAAGGTATTTATGTTTGAGTATAGATGACCAAAGTGTATATCCCATGGATAAGAAACGCCACCCAAGCTTCATGAGCAAAGCCATGTTTCTGTACGTACGCTCTAGTATGAGTTTTTGAGACCCAAGCCACCAACTTAATTCTTTGGGTCTTTTCATAAACCGCCCATTGTAAAGGTGGATCTTTTTGTGGTTCTCCATATCTCCCCACAAAAAATCACGGCTAAGGGAATCCAGCTTCTCAATGATAGATTGGACTGCTTTCAAGAGTACTTTTAAATTTTAATGAGTACAGTTCTACCTGCCTGTGGATTAACCTCATATACATATATATATATGGATGGCAACTCTTATTTGACGGTGTGGAGGAATTCCAACAAACTAAATTAAATTTATGCAACTCATTGAAAGTGTACCCTAAAGACAGATTGGAAGGCATAAGCCAAAGTCAGATTACTTGGGAAAATTTTGAATATAAAAGTAGTAGCTGGTAGCTAAATCTGTTGTAGTTGGCGGGGTTCCAAGTGATCCAAGTACTATATAACATATATAGCAACAGCAAAATCAGAGCGTCCCCTGCTGATGGTTCAGATTCAGTACTGATTCAGCTGAAGTCTAAAGGGATGATGAACACATGGCAGATCAAGACAGGTAACCCGAAAGATAAAGCCACCACACCAATATTCCTCCTTAAATTTTTTTTTATTTAAGAGAATCCAGTCCTATTGGTCGTGTGTCACCCAACAACTTCTCTCAATTACAATTTTATAAAAGATTAAAGTAGACTAATCCTGGTGACTCAACCAAATGGCCATTAATTTTGAATGGAACTGCACACTCACCCTCATGACGCTAAAAAGATAAGATCCCACTAACTCAATTCAAGTAAAGCCTTCCGCAACCAGATAGACAAAGGGACATCAAACAGAAAAGATCACCACCACACTTTACATTTTAAAACTAAAATATGAACGCCCGCCATCCTTCCTTAATCACCAATCTCCAGAAAAAAAAAAAAAAAAAAAAACGAAAATACCAAGTGTAATATGCATAATGAATTTGAAGGAAAAGGAAAGCTTTATTTTTCTCTTTTTTTTTATTTTTTTTTTGACTTCGTGGGACTTAAGGTAGGCAGACTCCAAACTCATGATCCCTCCCAATTGAGGTAGCCAGACTCCAAACTCATGACCCCTAACTCTCCATTAAAAGCCAGTTACCCTTTTATCGGGAAAAAGACATTATAGGCTTTTTAAGTAGGTTCCACCTCCCAAAACCAAAATCCACAGCATGAAAGTGACAAGCGTGGAATCACCCATCACCAATTGATGGTAACAACAAGATTAACAGGGTCTCAGCATGAAAGTATTATTTTGATTATTGTTTTTAATATAATGAGGTCTATCATTTGATCTTAATTAAATAATTGGTTTAAAATTAATTATATATAATTATTTATTATTTATAATAATATAGTTATAGTTATTTTATTTTAGAAACTATAATTTAATTTATTATTATATTTTTAAATAAGCATATAAAAATTATATCTCTAAATGATATTTTTAAATTTTGCCCTGCGAAGCAGGGGCTTCCCCGCTAGTACTTATATCATTGCAACAAGGCAATGAGCCAAATTGAAGTATCATATAAGGAATCGTGTTCACACTTCACATTTACACAACCTAGGGTGTCGAACTTCTGTACGCCTTACAAAATTTATTTGGCTGTGAAACGTGGAAGCCTAAAATTGTAATGTAAAGTTGTAAACCTTTATAAAAAAAAAAAGTAACCACAAATGTGAAATGCCGTGTACTTGTGGAAAGCATCAGAAAAGACTGAAACATTGTGCCGAACAACTTAGTATTGACAATTGGGGGGAGTGAGGACTCACTTGAGGTCAATGATAGGATAATGGCCCAGACTGGAATATTTCTTAACCTTGATGGTCACTATATATACAACTCTTTCTTTAGAGTAAAAGTAATAATAGGTAAAAGAGAAAGAGATACAGTCGTCTATCCTGGGTATCCCTGGACAGTTATAGTTAACAAAAAAAGAAGATCCTTGAGTTTTTGCTACTTGGAATACCTCATGCGCAGATATGTTATATTTTTCATGGTTTTTAAAAACGAACCGGTGATTGAATCGGTTAGGGGTCTGGTTATCGGTTTGAATGGTCTAATCGTTTAATTCGAATGGTCAGCTTGTTTTGATAAAAAAATTAAAAAAATTAGAAAACGGTCAAAACCGTTCCAACTATTTGAACGATTCGAATGATTAATCGGCCGATTCAACGGTTTTCTGGTCAAAATCAACAATTTGGAGAGAAAAAGCGGTTTTAAAAGAAAACAAACCAATTCCCGGTTTTTCCGGTCCAATCCGATTTTGAAACAGTGATATTTTCTATTTACTATATATACAACCTGGCAGGGTCTGTATTGACCGAGAACCGCTCATATTAGAAATTGAGGATCGACATATGAATTTGTGGTTTGTGGATCACGAAAATTGAGCTTCTAACTCAAAAAAGCCATCGGTGGAACACTAGCTTGCTTCTTGGTGTGGCCCATAGCAACAGTTCATTCC